TGTGAGCTAAAGGAAGGAGAACAGAAACTGTTCTCAAAGATGAGAAGTTCCCAAAGGGGGCGAGGATGGGGATGTGAGAGAGGATCCTGAATGGAGCCGGACCCTCGAGGCATCTGTCCCAGCATACGCCTCTGCGGGGTTCAACCACTTCATTTTCCAGCGGAATTTCATATTTCGCACAGGCAGCCCGGGAATGTCTTTCTGCGCAGAACTGAAGAGACTACAACTCCCTTAATCCACTGGAACTGCTGCCTTCCAATTGGACCCGCGACTTTGCAGGGTCTCATGGGAAATGTAGTCTCACGCCCTCCGTAGCCCCTTCTTGGATTTCCCACGCGTTTTCGGAGTCGTCAGCAAGCTAACAGTTAGAAGGGCGCCAGGCAGGTTCCGGGCTAAGGTCCTCGTTGTCTTGTACTGCGTGCTGGAAGGATGTTAGCCTTTGGAGTTCTCGTTTTTTTCTTTTCTTTTTCAACAGGTGGGGAAACATACCAGAGAGGTCGAAAGTTTTCCCAGGTCTTGGGACAGGCTCAGCAGCCAGGACGTCCTGTCTCCCAAGGAGCCCAGAGAGAGAATGGGTCGGGAGGCGGGTCGTCTCTACTTGGGGGTTGTCCTGCCCCCAACTCCGAAAAAAGTCCCCGCGCCCACCACCCTCATCCCCCTGCAGGGTTGAAAAGAGGCGTCTGCGTGAAGATCAACCATTTTCCGGAGGACACGGACTACGACCATGACAGCGCGGAGTATCTGCTCCGTACGTGGGGTGGGGGCCGGTCCGGGACAGACTGGGGGGACCCCTGGGCCTGGAGGGCGGGAGAGGGGCTGGAGAAGGGCCGGGAGCGCTGGCTCTTGGGTCGACTTGCCGAAATTAGCTTCCCAGCCAATCCAAGTCCGAATGCTGAGATCTTCTGGCTGCCGATTGGCTCAGGGGTCTGGGCGGGCTGAAGGGGGATCCTGGATGCTGATTGGCCGCCTTGCTGTCTTTGGCACTCGCGGCGGCTCTGCGTGACTGGTTGTGGATTCCCGGGCTGGGATTGGTCAGTGCGCCCTGGACTGTGGCAATCTGCAGCGGGGAGTGGCCACTCTCGGGAGCTGGATGGGGAAGCCTGTGATGCTATTGGTAGCTACTCCGAGAACGCGGCAAGCCCTGAATAATGATTGGCTGTGGCCTTAGACTGATCAGGAATCGCAAAATCTGGTAGCCTGGGATTTCAGGGGTGGGTGGCAAGGACTGCAGAAAGAGACAGAGACAGAGACGAGAAAGAGATTGATGAAAGAAAAGGAGAAGGGAGGGAGAGAGCGCAAAGAGATAGAGGAAGCCGGGCAGAAAATGGGGGGGTCAGGGAGGCAGAAAAGGAGCAGGGGAGAAGGACCCAGAAAGTGATGAAGCCAGGCAGAAAAAGGCGAGGGAAAGGAAGGGCGGAGAGAGACACCCAGAGAGAGAAAGTGAGTCAGAAAAAGGAGGCGGGCAGAGAGAGGTATTAAGAGATTTGAGAAAGGAAGGGCGAGAAAGAGAAGATAAATAGAAAAAGTAAGAGGAAGACAGGGGGAGTGACAGGGGAAAATAAAGGGGGGGAGGGCATACCAGGAGAAAGAGAAATAGAAAAGGACGAAGAAAAGGGAGAGAAAATCAGAATAAAAACAGACATGGTTAAAGCAGGCGAGAGAATGGGCAATAGAATGGAATAAGCCAAATAAGACAACCAGAACACAGCCAGAGCGGAACTAGGACTGGAGAGCAGCGGGGACCGCCGCGGGCCGCGGGCGCAGGCGGCCGCCCTGACGGCCCTCGCCCCTGCGCCCCCTCCGCCCTTTCCCTTTCCTCCCTTCCCAGGAGTTGTCCGAGCCTCCAGCATCTTCCCCATCCTTAGCGCCATCCTGCTGCTGCTCGGGGGCGTGTGCGTGGCGGCCTCGCGCGTCTACAAGTCCAAGAGGAACATCATTCTGGGCGCGGGGATCCTGTTCGTGGCAGCAGGTGAGAGGCAGAGGGAGGGGGAGGCGGGGCGGGCGCCCCCGCCGCGCGCACGTGTGTGTGTGTGTGTGCAAGTGTGCGCGCGCATGTGTCTGCAAAGCCGCCCTGTCCACGGGCCCCCGGTTCCTCCCAAGCTTCGTCGCCACCCGCTGGGTAAGGCAGGTGTAGGCTTCCCGCCGTCTA